ATGTACTAACAAAGCCACATTAGCCAGTTTATGTTTAACTTCTTCAAAACTTTTGTGACAATCTTCTGACCAATCATTTATCTTCTTATTCTTTTGATTTTGTAGTACCGTGATTAGATTATGCAGTGGCGTCAACGTTTTTGCAAGATTTGGTATGAACCGATGATAATAGTTCATCATTCCAACAAACCTCTGAAGTTGCTTTAAAGTTTCTGGCTTTGGAAATTCTCTAATAATTTGTACTCTCTGTTCAGAAGGTGAGATACCTTCAGCTGAAACTAGGTGGCTGAGAAAATTCAGTTTTTCGACTCCGAATTCACATTTCGATGGTTTGATATTTATTCCGAAAAGATCTAATTTTTGAAACAATCGCTCTAGATGTTCTAGATGTTGATCATTGTTTTCACTAGCAACCAAAATATCATCAATGTAGACAAACACAAAATTCAAATCTTTGGTTATTTCATTCATGAATCTTTGAAAGGTCTGTGCGGAATTTCGTAAACCGAATGGCATCCGCGTGAACTCATAGAGTCCAAAAGGAGTTGTGACAGCAGTTTTGTAGACATCTTCTTCTGCAATTGGAATTTGATGATATGCACGAACAAGATCTATCTTCGAGAATATCTTACATCCCTGTATACGTAAGTTGAAATCATGTATGTGTGGTAAAGGGTATCTATCTGGTGTTGTAAGCGTATTTAATTGTCGATAGTCCCCACATGGTCTCCAATCATTTGCTTCTTTTTTTGGAACCATGTGTAGTGGTGAAGAAACTGGAGAAGATGAAGGACGACATATTCCTAACTGAACCATGTGCTCGAATTCGGTTTTAGCAATAGTATGCTTTTTAACATCGAGCCTTCGTGGCTTGAAATAAGGTGGCATACCTGTAGTTATGATATGATGTTTTACTGAGTGTTTGACAGACTTCGAGAAGTCGGGGGACATGAATAATGACGGGTACTTTGCAAGAAGCTGGGTATATTTATTATTTGTTACTAAAATCTTTGGTGTCGGAGTGTCTAAGTTTGAAATAGAACCACTAACTGTCAGTGATGTTTCTGAATCCATCAAGCATTTATTTTTTAGATCAACCAATAATCCAAAGAGAGTTAAAAAATCTGCACCAATAATAGAATGATTGACTGCAGCAACAGTGAAAACGAGATGAAAATCGCGTCTCAAGTTCAAATTAACTTTCAATAGTTTTTTTCCATATGTAGTGATGGGAGTACCATTGACAGCTGAAAGTAGATTGCCAGTATCTCTTTTGTAATCTGTGAATATATCACGTGGTATGATTGAAATATCTGCTCCCGTGTCAATCAGGAAATTTAGTTTGTTATTTTTATCACGAATAAATAGGCGACAACTAGCGTTTCTGTTATATGTCGCCATTATAACAGAATTAACTAGTTTTCCTGATGCGATGTCTTGTTAAACTGACACCATGGTCCTGCACATTTTTTTGCTTGACCTTTGAACGTTTTATGATAATAACACACAGCACCATTTCTACTGGGCGACCTGGTTCTACTGCGGCTTCTGTTTCTACAAGATTTACAATAATAATTATTGTTAAATCTTGTAGTGCGAAATCGCTCTTGTTGCATAGCATTTATTTGAGTTTGAACATCATTGACTTTTGATTCGAAATTATCGTGTTTCTTTGTTAGTACATCTAAGGTCTCACTAAATTTTAATGATAGGTCATTGAAAGCTTCGAACATATTTTGAGCAATAGAGGTATTATTTGACGATGTATCATTAGCAATAATCGGATAATGATTGGCAGAAGATTTCATCTGAATTTCTGATATGTTTGATTCACGATAAGTTTCCCAAATTTTGTCAGCGATATCAAGAACTTCCCGCGAATCAGTCTTACCAGACGAAGTAATAGCAACTAAAATTGACTTTGGTAGATGTCTCTTCCAGTAAATTCTGACTCACGATAGAAGTTCCACCAACTGTAGCTGACATATCTCTGTAAAAGTCGGAAGGTTTACGATCACCCATCTGAGTGCCAGAAAGTAACATATCTAAACGTCGTTCTTCACTAGCTGTGAGTCTATGAATAATTGTATGTTTTAGATTGTTGTATAAATCCGTTTCAGGAGGGTTCTCAATAACATCATAAAGATTTGAAATAATGTCTAATGGTAATCCTGCAATCAAGTAATCATATTTTGTTCGATCTGCAGTGATGCGTGCTAAGGTGAATTGAGATTCTATTTGACGAAACCAGATTTCTGGTTTAGAAATCCAAAAAGGTGGCAATTTAATAGAAGCAGCAATCTGATTGAAAGTATTTTGGTCTGACCTGATAGATTCATCTTCTACTAAATCCATCAAAGAAGCATTCATTGAAGTTTGAGTTATTATGGCAACTTACGGAATTAAGTTTTATAATGCAAATTTCAATAGTGATGATCCAGCAAAACAAATATATGGGATTTCGCTGCTATATTCTTCGAATATTCTTGAATATCGCCTCTCCAGTTGTTGCAGGTAAAGTTGTCTTCGATTTCTTGATTATAAATTTGCGAATATTGACTGTCCTGACGATGTAATCCGTTGATTGAATCTCCTTAGCTGCGCCTTCAAGTAGTTGTATTTTTATCTTCAGAGAATATGCTCCAGTGTTCCGAATTTCTTGTCTCAAATGAGCTCTGTGATTTCTAGTAGCGGCGATTTGATGAGGGCAGTTCTTTGTCAATGTCGGGGTCACCAATATGTGATGGTTATCACATTTATTCAATAGAATACAGTGGAGATATTGATATACGCAGATATGATATATATTTGACAAATCTCTAATTAATTTCTTATATGACATATATCAACAACATTGTCCTAGCGACTAATCATATACCAAATGTTCTTTATCAAATATGAATAAATATGAATAAGGTTGCCACATATTGAAGGTGATTTAGCATTATGATTCTCTATGAAAAAATGTTGCTTCCTTGGTGAAATACGTCAGTGGTTGTTCGAAATGATTCTTTCGAAAGAGCTCCTTCGTTGGTGGTGGAACTGGTTACTACTTCTACTTCCGTCTCGTTCCATGTCCTGGATGATCTTATCTATAATTGCCCCTTCTGTCTGCGAGCTGATTGACAAATCGATCTGTCATCATCGCGATCGATTCCGTATTTTCCGATGTTGATTCACTTGTTCCTACACTAGGAAGTATGAAGGTATGAGTACCTCATACTTATCAACTTATTCAATGATTGTTGTCACTTGGTGAATAATTAAAACTGTCGATAAGCATATTACAATCTTCATTCGTTCAACAATCGTCACTACTTTTTAATTAACATTGGTGAACAAATCCAAAACACGGTCGTCTGATGCCTCTATCATGTACTGTCTGAAGGAGGTGGTATATTAATTTTTCTTGATTTTCTGGAATTCTATCTCCTCGTTTCTAAAAAATGAAAATATTTGTATTATTTCAATATACTTGCAGTGGGACGAATCGAATGATTTGCCCCAAAATGTCACTGCGTTCAACGAATTTCTCGATCAGGGAGCCTAATAGAAAATTTCAACAGTTTGTCAGTGAAAATTTGTTCGAGAAAATGTTTGAAGGAAAGGAATATAGATATATCGAAAATATAACGAATCATTAATCAACTTTGGACGTTTCGGGACCAAATTTGACCCCGTTCGCAACATGGAATTGCAAAATATTCCTTTTGGAAGTTGTGCTGCTTATAGTTTGACAGTTTTCAGTGTCATACTGATCTTGGCATATGAATGAATGATTTCAGTCTACAAATTAGTTACAGGATGTTTTTATTGATTAATCTTGGATCTACAATGTTCATGCTCAGTTTTCAGTAGTGAATACCATGTTCTATCTATATCAACTGAACATGAAGCAATTTTATTATCTTCGTTCAGAAGAATGCACGCGGATTCCTTTTTTTTTGTTTGTTTGTTATCTTATTTTCCTATGATTTTGATATTATTCCACTCTGCCATATGTTGTCCTTACTGAAGATGGAGATGTTGAGAACGGAAGCAAATTCGGACCCATAACGTCCAAAGATGAGTAATGATTTGATATTTTTTCAATATTTCTTTCCTCCAGACATTTTTTCAAACAGATTGTCACTGACAAGCTACTGAATTTTTTTTAGGCTTCCTGATAGAATTATTTCTTGAACGCAGTGACATTTTGGGGAAAATCATCTGATTCATGCCACTGCGAAAAGGTATATTGGAATAATAGGAATATTTTTATTTTATAGAAAGGAGGAGAGGAAATTCGAAAAAATCAAGGGAAATGCCTTTGTCATGGTTTGAAGGTAACATGATGATGATAATTCGTAATTTCAACGCACACTCACTCTAAATTTCTATGATTGTCTTGCTCCATTTATCGACAGACAGTGGCAGTTTTGCCCGTAATCTACAGACGCCATCTCGAGTTCACAAGTGGATGCATTGAATACGTCAGTAGTCCATGTCGCATGATGGTCTTTGGCACACCAGTTTGCATCAACAGTAAGTCTTCTCGACCGCCAATCTGGCCATCTTTGTAAACTCTGCTGTTATCACGCTTCAGAGTGGCTATGAAAATGATTTGTCAAAGATATCTCCGCGAGATCGACTCTGTCCAGTATTCCTGCTGTCTAGCATATGAACAAGCACTCTAGCGGTGATTCGGCTGACCATCCTGAAGCTTCTGTCATGGCTTCGATCCCTAGTGCAGCGTTCAGGGCATATATGAGTCACTCAGGTTGTATTTTTTTACATTTCTTCATCTCGTATTCCATCCACGAACGTTCCGATTTTTCTGCAATTATTGTTCAAAGCTATCAAGAATGAGTATTCTGATTTCTAATAGACATCCGGATGAAATAATTACTACAAAAACGGATTTCTTAAATTTCATCTGGGAATATGACACGGATATATTATTTCAGCAAACTGCAGCTCTTGAAATTGAATGAAATATCGAAATCTTTCAGGAATCTTACCGTAACTATCTTCTTGTCTAGAATGATGACTTTCATTCAACCCTGAGAATTTCATGAACCCCTTGGAGCAGGGCACATTTAGCTTCATGACCTCTATAACGATTCCGTGTCCGACTTCTTGTGTAGGAAACCACACTTTGCACCCAGAAGCATCTCCTGGAATATCTGAGTTTGTGATGATAGATTGGTCCGGAATGAGGCGGAGTTGGCAGTCTGGAATAAAGAACTAATATTAAACGTTTACTTGTTGCATCTACCTACATACATATATTCGAAAACAATTCTGTTTGCTTTTCCAGGAAAATGAATGCGAAATCATAGTTTCAAGAGAAATACAAGGTTGGTGAAGTTGATAATGTACCACAAAATCAGAGAACGAGTTGAGGGGAAAGTAGTCATTCATGATAATATTGAAGAAGAATTTTATTTTGACGTTATAAAAATTATTTTATTCATCAACTTTCTCTAGGAAGATTCTTTCATTCAGTTATAATCTAGGATGATGAATGTATACATAGTGTTTCATGACCGGATCTCCATAGCTTACTCAATAAAAGTTTTCAGATTCATTCCCAGGTTTCTGGATGTATTGGGCAGAATAACGTGATGATAATTCAGAATGTCAGTAGTTAATCTGTATCAGAATATCACTGTGTCAATAGATCATACTATTATTAGGATTAGGAGTACGGCAATTCATCAACACAGTTATATTCTGGGACATATAAACTACTTCGTCTTTTCTGAATATCAATCAGATGATTCTGTTGATAATTTCAGAAAACGATTGGCATAACCTCAGTGGCACAAAAGCATACCGCCACTACATATCTGTGATATAGGGCATCTCTCGAAATAAAATCACAAATCCACAATGTACATTCAGGTTCTTCTACGAAAGAAACTAGGGGACAAAGAATAGATCAGACAATTATTCCACGCATTGAAAGCATTATTCTAGAAATTTTCCGAGAATGGAATCAGATCCAATTCCTACGTAGCTAATTGTCTGTTGAAAGAACATGACTATAAATAAGTTCGAACTAATAATAAATGAGTCAGAAGCCATTTTCACGAGAACAGCAATATATTTCTTTCATCTGATACACAAGTATAACAATTACGCCAACTTTGCCCAATTCACCACATCTCACTTTACAATCGAATTACGAATATCAGCAACCTAGACAGGAACAGCTGTCAAGGGTGAATAGGGAATATCGAAACTTCACCGCTAGGAATTTATCAATCAACGTTACCTAAAACAAGGATATCAACTGAGGAATCTAGGGTATCAACAAAGGAACCAAGCTCACAATCCTAGAATTCCTAATTTCAATAGACAACAAAAATTCAGATCCAACTACTGGACAATGGGTTCATTATGGAAATAACTACGGTAACAATCGAGAAGACACTGATAGAAATCAGGGATCTATCCAGTAATATTATAACCAAAACCAAAAACGTGCTACATTTGCATTCGTACGGATCATTCTGCATATGGCATGTCGCTAAAACCAAAATATCAACCCAAACGACACTTGATGTCGCCAATTGACCCCGGCATTATGCTCCTCAGTCATAAGGCCTCGAAAAATATTACACAATCTGGAAATCTGACAATCACAGCGATGATGAATGAGTCGAAGGAGGTAGTAATGTTACATGCAGAGGCGGAATTGAATATGATTAAAAAAAAAAGGGAGAAAGCGTACAGATAGACAGACACGGTTCTTGTTATCAGTATAAAACGAACAAATTTTCACAATCCGAGTAACGATAGCCAATGGCAACATAAATGATTTCCCTGTTTCAACTGAAGCCACCGTAGTCGGAGATTCGTCGGTACCAATCATTCCAGGAATGGATTTTTAAGGAAAGTATCAGCCAACCAATAATGAACCCCGAAGAAAACACAGTTGATTAAAAGATTGCATGTCAAAAACTACTAATTTCCTTCAACTCATAATCCTGCCGGAGACAATCAAGAAGCGCATACTGGCCCGAGTGTTTGGAAAACATAAAGAAAGAATGGAAAAGTGTCACGAGAAAAGATTCGGTTGAGGGGTCGAAGACTAATTCAAAACATAAAATGATACACCATCAACATTCCGTTGCACTAAATGAGGTGATGAATTGCCTTCCTCCAAAGCCTATAAAGATACCTGAACGCAATAATACTCCGACGGCAGAAATCAAAGAAGTAAAACAGAATATTTTTGAGGCGAGATCTCAGTACTTCCAAGCACACTGTGTATCAGAAAATATGGAAATGAAAAGAGGAAACGCTGCTACATTCCGCGAAATCATCTGGAAAAATTGGAAAGAGGTTTTCAAAGATTCAAAAATTCTGGACTGACACTGAAGCCAAGAAAGTGCATAAACATAATAACAAAGATGAAAATCCAAGGACACATCGTGCATGATAATGGCATTGCCCTAGATTGATCTCTTGTAAATGCAATGGCAGATATTTCTATATCAAAGAATATCGAACAAACACGAAGATTCAGAGGCCTCTTCATCTTCTTAGAGAGTTCATTGAGAAGTCTGAAGGATGAATCAGTGACATCTTCTGTATTACAGTATTTTGAACCTAATAAGGTATTAGAATGGATGGTAACCGCAAGACAGATTGGTATTGGCAAAATCCTACTTTAAGAAGAGGAGAATTTGCAAAAACATTCGGTGGTATATATTGGTAGAAGTTAGTCGTGATACGAAAAAAATTATACAATTATTGGGCTCTAAGGACTCTAAGCAGCATGGTGCCAGATATACCTACGACATTCAATCTATTGAAGACCAGTAACTATCGTCATGAATCATCATGCATTATGCAAAATTCAGTAATTGAAAGACGCGATCAGATAACTTGGGAAATGGTTCCTCAAACCTCAGAATTTGACAACAAAAGAATACACAAGAATGGGAGAGATCACTCAGACTTGTTTGTCAAGAAACCCTATGCAATTGCTAGATAATGATATCGACTTGATGGAATTCCAACATTTTTATCGAGTACAGTGAATTTATCTAGAGAACGAAGAAATGATGAGTTGAAATGAATTCATGAAGTTCTCATGAATCCTCACAGTAGCAGCAACCATGGGACGAGCGAGAATGGCAGAAAACTTAAGAATAATCAACTAAGTAAAAAAGAATTGACCCCTATACAGTGAGTAACCCCAAATCACTAAGTAGCAGAGATATTTTTTTTTATCTATGATGAATTGGTATTCATCTTACAGGATGAACAAAGAAACTTCGAATTGACAAAACCTAATCACGAATCTGCGATTGAGGTTTATAAAAAAAAACAAGTTTTCATCGTTCGAGTTCGAAGTCCTTGTTCGGGTGAAAGTATTATTATATTCATACTATTATTATTATTTCATCATCATATTATTATTATATCATCATCATAATATTATTATATATGATGTTGAGAATTCGCATTCTTTATGTGATGAAAATATCAATTCTTTCTCGGTTTATTCATCAAAAAACAACTAGTTTCCTGGCTTTATGTCACGACGAACATTGAATTACATCTATTGAACACACACGATAAGAATTTGAAATCGAAACCTTCTGATTCACAGGACAAAACATCATTATCCATTCGAGGATTCCAATCACCCAAGAGTCTCATCCTTTTCTGAAGTGATCACGACTCCTTCTGCTTAGTAGAACCAAACATGTGGAATTCTTCATGGTACCATGTTCCTAGCAGAAGCGGATAATTTCGCCAACGGATCAAGATAAATGAGACAGATTTCAGGAACTGGACTGAGACATTGCAACGCCTTTCATGATAGATTATGTTGCCTATCCCGTTTTGCCGCTGACTCATACGACGGTCCCGAATGTGTCAAAAAAGCGAATGAAGAAGCCACATTCGAAGAAATCAATCATTATTTCCCAATGAACTGTCATAAATCGACAAAAACAAATATATCTAGAATCAAAGAAGAACAATTATTCATCTCAACCCACGTGAAACTAATAGTACAAAAACCATCTCCTCACACGATCATAGCATACCAGGTACAACAGGAATCAAAATTCCATGTAACTGTGAACTTATGATGAAGAAACGAAAATAATGCCAAAACAATATAATCTCAAATCTCAACTGAACTCTCCTACTCTCCTTGATATAACTGAATGCATCATTAGTTACTCGACAACACACCACACATGAATCTGACGTCAAATGAAGAAAACATACAAGAAATTGTAAATCAACTTAGGGTTCTTTCGTCGTTCACTCACGGTGATAGCAATGATCATTACGGGGACGATATATTCTTTGCCTGGAACATTATTTCATCAGTATGTGTCGCATATCTACTTCTTGGTAGACGCCCCATTTCAACGATGCTTTCCCAAATAATTCAACTTAGTTGAGAGTCTTGGTGAATTGACATTTCAAAACGAATTTTCGTTTTCCTCAATATGTTTGGCACTGGTAACTCTCATTTTATATCCCATAATCAGAATATTGAACCAACGACTCTCGAAATGGAGAAAAAACACACGAAAATTCATAGCGAGTCTTGAGGAGAGATATTGATAATTTACCTAATGAATATGTTCTGGGAGTCACAAACAACTCGCCGGAACTCTCCGAAAGTCAAAGTTCTGATCGAATTCTACATGAAGTTGGCAAGGAAATAATAATGTTTCAATTAATGTATCACCCGGGAGATCAAAGGAAGGAGGGTATGGAGGATGGTACAGTAGGATGGCACAGCCACATCTATTAATGTGAGGGTATCGATAATATGAAGAATAGTTCTCCAACATGATATTATGGAGGAAATATAAAGTAAATGGCAAGATAAAGAAGTTAATAACGACTGTTGAACGTTGATTGGCTGATAGGAAATCTTGAAAGATGGTTGGAAGATACTGAAAGATTTTCTATTCAAGGAATGTTATGTTGATTCACGAAGTGGTAGAGATATATTTCTATACTTGATGTTGGCCAATAGAGAATCATGAGAGATGATTGGAATAATACTGAAATATTTTCCATCTGAAGACGCGAAATGTTCAGTAATAAATGATTCTGTGTAACAATATTTCTCCACAGAAATATAAGCAGATACGGAAT